TCCTTATCATCCAATCCAACCCTCCCCCTTCCCTTTCCCCCACCCTATTAACTTATGCGTTTATTGATCTATAGATAATGAAAGATAAATTTTGCTGTCTAATTTTCTTAGATTTTGTTATATCCTAAACGTAGTTTGCCCGAATCCAAAAGCACGCCATAATCATGATGAGGACAAATAAAACCTTAATGTGTTTTATGATTCAAAATCTAGCAAAATCCTCGGCCTCTGAGCATATCGACGATAGAATGGAGGTTTAATCGGCAATTTTTAGATTATCATGCTTTGGTTGTGGTATATTCTCAACCTAGCTTGATGATGATTCTGTCTTTAGGAGGCAGAAGTTTTTACCTCTCATAGCTCAGAGTTAGGAGAGAGCATCCCATTGCCGTTTGGGAACTTAAATACTGCCTTTTTGAGTGAAAATTGGTACAGCATTTTATTTCACAATATATCATAGTTGCCAGCCACAATATTAGAAGTGCTCCCATGGGTGGCACTGCTGTTGTTATCGTAGGATATAAACATAGAAATCTTACAAGCACAATCTTACCTATACAAGTATTCAAGTGATGCCACTTCAACAAGAGTTTGTACTTTGAGTTTGTTCAACAAGAGTAAAATAGCTGTAAAGCTAAAATTAACCTCGAGAAAAGAAGATATCATTAATTGTGTTGTGTTTCGTCTTTGACATTTAAGAGTTATAGTTTAATTTAAGGGAAAATGCCACAGTCCCTTTTGGGTACGGTCCTATAATTTTAATCCGCTCATATCTTATCATATCATTTAGTAATTTAAACTCTTAAAATAATTTAAAGGTCGATAATTTATATTCTATATCCAACGATAAATTTAATCATTGGAACAGTGCTGTAAAAGGACTGTAGAATTCCCTAATTTAAGAACGCTAACAACTACATTAAAAATTTAAATCACCTACACCCGTTAGAAGTTTAAATCAAGAGATACTTCCTCTTTTTTTTTTGAAATTATTGTGAGATAGTTTTGATTATGCTTAAGATTCATCCATTAAAGTTGAATTATTGAAGAGTTCATGGTTTAAGATACACATGTTTTGCAAATTAGCGGGGGATTGTAGAGTAGTTTGGAAAAACTGTGCAAGTGGACGTTGGCGGCCCAAACTATGAGTTTTAAAGTCAAAACTATTTCCAGATTTAACGATAGCTCTCTAGATGCTATGGCCCATTTGAACTCAAATGTTGGGCCATCCCAACTTTGACACTTGTAATTATGGTTATCCACTTTCTAAAATACAAAAATAACTCTTCAAATCATAGCTATTAAATTCTGCCCAGAAAGGAAATCGACAAAGGAGATGGGTCAACGGGTCACTGGTTCAACAAGTGGATGAGTAATTGAACTAGCGGGTCATTAAATATATTTAAATATTATATCTCATATTTTTGTATATATGATATGTGTTATAAACTATAATAAAAAATGTCATAGCAAATGCTCATTTAATTTAATTCACTGTAGAATAATTAATTCATATAAAAATCAGCAAAATATAAATTTAATTAGTAATCCACCAAACTTCAAGTGTAAAATTTTATCTGTGTTTAGTGTAATTATCTAGTTTATTTAAGAATTTTAAGTACAAAAAATTATTAAAAATAATATTTGCCTTTAAAATGGATTATGTAATATAATATTTTTGAAATCCATTTTATAACTTATAAAGTTTGGAGGGTCATAAGTTTTTATTTAAAAAGTTCAAATAAATTTGTTTTGAAGAAATAAAAAAATAAAAATAGAATTGACAAAACGTTCATATAATATAAGAATGCTATTCAACTGCAAGTGCTACAGTGGTGAGTATACTATAGATATATGCTTAAAGTCCTAAGTTCAAATTTTTGTACGAGCTTACTAACATCTTTTCCATAAAACCCCGATTCGTCAGCAAAATCGGTTGGATTTCAGTCTAATCTGGTTAAACTATTGAGTCATTGACTAAAAATCGGTTGGATTTCAATCTAATTCGGTTAAACTGTCGAGTCATTGATTAGTCAATGGGTTCTGTGCCTAAACGATCCAATTAGAGACTCAACTCAACCCAATAACTTGTTCGCGGGATGATCAGTTCGACCATCGACTGGCTCAGATTTAATAACTATGCTTCAAATACCTATTTTAACATCTATAAAGTACGAGTTTACACTTTGTTTTAAGAAATCAAGAGAAAAGCTTCATTTCTCAAGTATTGATGGCAAGTGGCGAATCTACCGCTTATATGGCAACTCAAAAAATTTCCTTTCTCAAAGAGTACCCCATTTCTCAGTTTACCCCCTAATCTTTAATTTTGCTCACTTAACCCCCTTTAGGACAAAATTGCCCTTGCATTATTTTGACTTTTCATTTACCTTATTTCCCTTTCTTTTATTTATTTTTCTCTTTTTTCTTTATTTAATTCTTCCTCTTTCCCACAAAAATCTTCACCTTAATGATTGAAATTAAAAAAAAGGAATTGCAGAGATCTATCTTATCTTTAAATGATTAAAAAAAATAATCAAATCACTTTCCTAAAATACAATTTTTTTAGCCTTTCAATTCTTTTAGTCTTAGATTTTCCTCTTTTCTTTCTAGTTTCTCATTTTATTCTCAAGAAAATATCATAAGATGAAATTGTTTTCCTTTCTTTTATTTCTTTTTCTCTTTCTTTTCTCTTTCATCCTTCCCAATAGAAATTCCATTTCAATGAAAATTTTTGTTTTGAGTTTGTAATTGCATATTTCTGGGTGAAAGTTTAAAAGGCATCAAAAACTAATTTTGATTTTTTGTATGACTCCGCGTGTCACAAATTTCAATTGATGATTATTAATCAGGTCACAATTTTTTCTTAAGATATTTTCTTGAGAATAAAATGAGAAACTAGAAAGGAAAGAGGAAAACCCAAAATTAAAAGAATTGAAAGGCTAAAAAAATTGTATTTTAGGAAAGTGATTTGAATATTTTTTTAATCATTTAAGGAGAAGAGAAATCTCTGCAATTCCTCTTTTTAGGATGATTAATGATTTGTATAGCATATTTAAGGTTTAAAATAATTTGAATTCAAGCTTTTCGAGCAGGTTCGCGAACGGCTCATTTACATAAACGAGCCGAACACGAACTCGAATTCGAATATAAATTTTGCATAACGAGTCGAACACGAACACTGGTTTGTAGTTCGCAAGTTAACGAACGAACGCGAACGTTGTTCGAATTGCTTAACGAATAGAGTTCAAACATGAGATACTCGGTTCAATTCGGTTCGTTTACAGCTCTAAGTGAAAGCCATTCAAAATCGTAGTTGAAACTTCTGTAATTTGTATGATAGCTAGAATATATATATATATATATATATATATATATATCCTTATACTACATAAGATTGAGTTTTTGGTCAAAGAGTAGGTTGAATTTCAACCGCATGGGTGGGGGCTTTTTGGGAATGTTAAATATTGTGTATTAGCCTAACAGATTTAGGTGCAACTTCACGAAGCATGTATTTGGATATATTTACCGAAATGACCCCATTTTAATACATTTAAAGTTCTCATTGATGAGCCATCTAAGTATTGATGGAATATGTAAAATGAGTGTTCAACCATTCTTGCCTGTTGTACACCCCATATATGCTTGTGTGTTGATGTAATTACCAAAATACCCCCTAGGCCCAATTATTCCTCTAAACGGACAAGTAAACGTTGCTTCTATGTGGGAGGGGGTGTCGTTGAAATCGTCCGGTACCTGAAACGTTCCAATGGTTGCCTAACCGGTATGGCTGTTAATGGTTTGGTCGGAACCCACTTCCTCATCTTTTAATCTGCATTTATGCCCCACAAACGTAGGTCCGTTACCCCCTTTCAGCTTCAGTTTCCCGTCGCCTTCCCTTACAGTGACCTGCCATGACGTTTCCTCTTCTAGGATTCAATTGCTTAGGTCCGACTTCTGTTAGCTAGATGAGCCACTGGTGTATGAACTCTACTCTGAAATTACCAATCATTTGTCTGTTCTTTTTAGACTTTGGATTGATCGCAAATTCTAGCATGATTGGTATTCGGCTTTTTTCTTTTCTGTGTAAGAGTTTTAATTAATTTGTCGAATGTGATTTGCATTTTTTTGGTTTTCAATTGGTGAAGAAAGAGTAAAGATGCCCATTTTTGTTTCGAATTTAAGCTGCATTTCTGCTGCTTGGTACTTGGGAATAATTGTTTTAGGAATTTAGGAAAATGGAAACTTTTGCAGAACTTTGAATAAGCATAATCCCATTTCAATTTTCGAAGCCTCGTATGGTGTCTCAAAGGTATGATCACAGACTCATAGCAATGTTGGAGGGTATAGTGATTGTGAGTTTTGAACTCTAATTTATTCATGATTCTGGGAACTTTTTTCATAATTTTGATTGCCATTAGGAGTTTATGAAAGGTGTGGTTGGTGCAAGGTCATCTTCTGCATTCTTTAGATTATTTTGCTTTTTGGTAGTATCGAATTTATGGGGTTCAACAGCTGAAGTTTAACAATTGATAAACTTCAGGTTTTCCTTTTTCCTTTGGAGTTCAAGAGTTAATCAGTTATTAGACAGTGAAGTTCTTAGTTCACCACTTTTGCAGTTCAGGGTTTTTTCTATGTTTGCTATGAAGAAATTATTTTATCTCAAGTCATGTTGCAGCGGAAATGGAACTATTTGCTTTGACATTTTTCACTGATCAAACATTTTCTGCATCAAAGTGGTTTGGTAGCTCCTTTTCAGCCTGTTTTCTGCTCAAGAAAGAAAATTTATTAAGGGAAGGGTGGTATTCATTGCATATTAACTGGATTTCTGTTCGGTGACAGTTGCTCTTCATTTCATCTGGTCTTTGGTAGTAATTTTTAGCACCTTTTCTTGCTTTTTTTGCTTTCTAATGCAAATTTTAATTTTTACGACCATGGTTTCCATTCATTTTATTTAAATATTGTTGTAAATGTCTTAATGGTGGTGAATGGATTCTTTGTAGGTAATTTTTACTGAAGTAATAGATGTTGACATGGATGACGACTATGAGTATATTATGCTTTTGGATAGAGAAGTGGACACAAAGAGGAAGGGCAAGGTAACTATAAACTTTTGTTCGCAAAATGTTGCTTGGTACAATATTAATTGGATTTGTGAGTCAGCTGACTCCAATATGGTACTTCTTGTTTGTAGACATGACTCTACTATGGTAATTTTGAGAGTTTGATGGCGGTTTTTCCATGTGGACTTGCATTTTAAATTTGAATTCATTATATGGTTGGTATTCCTGTTAGAACTTGGTTGTATTTTATATATTTGCATATGTCATAGCGAGGGGGGTTGTTTTGGCCAATAATGGGCCAAGAATTAGTTCATGGTAAATTGGTGAAGGTATTACTAATGTTGTTGTACTTATTATAAATATTTGTCCGTACATCTTTGGAAACTTGCTGCATCTAATTATTTGTTTTCGGGAACTTCCTGATTCTAATATTGGAAGACTCTTATGTTGTTTGTCTTATAATCATACCTGTTTCTAATTATTTATCGCAACGTACTATTCTTGCAATGTATTATTATTTGTCTAACCAAAAAACTTTCTTCAGCCACAAGCACCAAACACCCGTGCGATGCGCGGGCACTCCTCCCCTAATATATATATATTCTTTTCTTTGTCTTTGATTTCCTATGTAACATATACAGTATTACCTCAGTTTCTATTGTAAAATTATAGTTATCAAAGAGACTAAGAGTTGGTTTGTTATAAGAAACTCGGAGAAAAGAAAACTTTATATTTTTATAATTGTTATTCAAAAATAATACTAACTGTATAGTAATATAGATATGAATGGCATACGTTTATAAGGAAACTAATTGTTAGCTTGATATATGACACTTTATCAAAAGAAATTAAACAAGGTAACGAAAAAATAATTTTGTTTAGGGGGACAACATAATAAAATTTAAGTTGACAACTAAAATTATAGGGAGAATTTTAAAATTTTTAAAACTTTTGGAGCGCGGCTCCCCCTGCCTGTCCACCCTATGTCCGCCTCTGATAAATTATTTGATACTACAATTTGTATTAAAGCATAGGTACAAAAGTAGAACAATCAAAACAGCTTTCATGTTCCTTTTTCTCCTTATTTTCTGGCTTTACTAATTTTAGTGCATTGTTACCACAAAAATATTAATCCCAATATATGTGCTTAGAACGAGTGAATTTATCTCTCGTAGCAGTATCTAGCTTTGAACTACGTAATTTACACAAAAACCATAAAAAAAATCCAAAAAAAAAAGACAAAAGAAGAACTTTCCTCTCCCCCAATCCCAATTCTCATTTTAACTTGTTAATTTTATATTTATGTAATTTTTTTTCGTAAATTGTTTCAAATCATTTCTGAGGTTAAAATTTCTCAATAATGAAGGCAAAAACGAATAAATTCTTTTCGAAATCAGATTCCAATCTAAATTCCACTCAGATGTTTAGGCCTACTACACCATCACCCCAAATCGTAAATGAGATACAAGACCTGAGTCTTCCATTGTTGACTTGTCAATGTAAACACAGCAAAAGTGAAACATGCTTTCCAAGCCTGATATTGATAGCCACGTCAACTGCCAAAGTCGCTTTGAGGCTTCAATAATTTGACGACCACTGCCAGCTCTATATATCTATCGGCAACATATAGCTGAAGTACTGCAGTGTATTTCTTCCGACATTTCACAGGACCATGGGTGGATCAACCCATTTCTCTGTTTTCTTACTCGTCGCAATAATTTTACTCTGTTCTTCCAGCAAAACTGTAAATGCAACTTGTTATGCAAGTGAGAAACAAGCTCTTATGGACTTCAAGAAAGACTTGAAAGATCCCTTTGGTAGACTCTGGTCTAGGATTCACGACGTTGATTGCTGCAAATGGGAAGGAGTTGTTTGTAGCAACCGAAGTGCCCACGTGATTCAACTTCACCTTCAGAGTCCGGTTCGTGTAATTGATGATTTTGGTGATGAGGAAAAATCACCATTAAGCGGTAAAATCAGTCATTCGTTACAAAATTTGACTCACTTGCGTTACCTTGATCTAAGTCTAAATAATTTCAGTGGAATTCCAATTCCCAGTTTTGTTGGGTCTCTCAGAAGTCTGAGGTACCTGAATTTATCTGGAGCTGGATTTCAAGGAATGGTTCCCTATCAGCTTGGAAACCTGTCAAGTTTACGAGCTTTAAGCATAGGAGGCCAATCTTCAAGTTTACGCGATCTGTCCGATCTTCAAGTTGATAACCTGCAATGGTTGGCTGGTCTCTCGAATCTGGAGCACCTAGACATGAGTGGCGTGAACCTTAGTACGGCGGCTAATTGGCTAGAGGTGATTAACACGATCTCTTCTTTGGTAGAGATACATTTGTCCTCTTGTCAGCTTGATTTAATTTCTCATCATCTTGGCAGAGATACATGTCTTTCATGCCGACTTTTCTTCTCTTACTGTCCTAGATCTTTCTGGAAATTTTCTTGGACACCTCATCCCTAAATGGATTTTCGGTCTTACTGCCCTTGCTTCTCTTGATTTAAGTGATAACTCGTTTGAAGGCCCATTGCCCAGAGATCTTTGGAACTTAACTTCCCTCAAGCACTTGGATCTTTCTTCGAACCAGTTGAATGGTTCACTGCCAGATGAGCTTATTCATCTTAACAATCTCATTTCTCTCAACCTTGGGGGGAATCAATTCAAAGGCTTCTTGGATGGAATTTGGAATTGGAGTTCCCTTACATCTTTGGATCTATCAGCGAATAACTTCGCTACCTTCCTCCCAAGCCAATTATCCATTTTAACTGCCCTAATTTCACTTGATCTTAGCCTCAATCAGTTTCGAGGTTCTATCCCAAGCTCTATTGCCAACATTTCCAACCTTCAACGTCTTGATCTATATGATAACAACCTTAGCTCCTCTTTACCAAGTGAATTATTCACATCAAAGGGCTTGATTACACTTGATGCGAGCAGTAATCACTTAAATGGTCCAATTCCAAGCACAGTTGGCAACTGTACCAAGCTAGAATACCTTTCGCTCTGTGATAATGCTCTATCTGGTTCAATTCCATCAAATTTAGGAAGATGTACCAAGCTAGAATACCTTTCGCTCTGTTATAATGCTCTATCTGGTTCAATTCCATCAAATTTAGGAAAACTGTCATCCTTGGAGCACTTGGATGTATCTCACATCAAACTCACTGGAACTCTTCCTGAAAGTCTTTGGCAGCTTTCCAAACTTAAAGAGCTTCGTATTCACGACAATTCAATGGAAGGCATTGTGAGTGAGAGTCACTTAGATAAACTGACAGCTTTAAGGATTTTTGATGCATCTAGAAACTCCTTGACCTTAAAAGTACGTGCAAGTTGGACTCCTCGTGCCCAATTTGAAATACTTAAATTGAGCTCGTGGAAGTTGGGTCCCCAATTTCCTACATGGATCCGGTCACAAAAAATCCTCTATTACTTGGACTTGTCCTTTGCAGGAATTTTAGATACCATCTCACCTTGGCTATTCAACTCACCATTGGTATATGTAGACCTTTCTCACAATCAAGTCCATGGTAAGAGTTTAAATATCTCTGAAATTGTTAAAGGTTTATATGTGTATTATAATCAAGCACAACTATTCCCTCTTGGCTATTCAACCCATCATTGATCCACGTGGAACTTTCTCACAATTAATTTTATGGTAAAAGTTCAAATACCTCTAAAACTGTTAAAAGGTTTATATACACACAACAATCAAACATATTCAATTGCCTAGCCACCCAATTAATTTATCATTGATTGACATATTTAGAACTTAATTTCCAACTATTTATTTTCAGGAGGCAACTCTCACATTTTGTGTGAAGTCAAGAATAAAAATCCAGTTCTTCGGTATCTGGATCTTCGGGAGAATTCTCTGTCAGGAGATATTCCTGACTGTTGGATGAATTACCCATTCATGTATCACATCGACCTCAACAGCAATAACTTCACTGGAAGCATTCCAAGGTCATTGTTTCATTTGGAAGATCTGGATTATTTAGGCTTGGGTAACAACAGCCTCACTGGTCCGATAACCTTTGACTCTGTAAATCATGAATAAATAAGTTTGGAATTCGGAGCCCCAGAGGAGACTTGTGGAGGCATTTGATGTTTGATCCAGTGGGTAAAAATAAGACAGACATCAAAAGTGATTTTGTGTACTGTTGGTGATGTATTTGGTCATGCTGGAAAATCAAATCTTTCATAGAAAATGTTAGAATTTTTAACAGTGGTTGACGGATTCACCAATGTTTTGAAGCTATGATTGTCAGATTCCACGTAATGGTTTCTATTATATATTTGATGACAATAGGCAATGACATTGGCACCACGTCCTCTTGAAATGAACGAAAGAAAAAGTCAATATCACCTAAAATGCATATCAAATTGTAAACTTGAAATGAACATATTGGGAGAAGTATTATAGGCCCAACTGTTTTTATCAAAATAAATTTGGCCTCCAAAATTTCTCCTTTTTTTTAATCAAATTTAGGACAATAGACAATAATTCAATAATTCTCATGGTCAAATCAATGTACCTTTAGCCAACAGTTTTTGCTTTGCATTTTTTGCCCCACTATTTAGAGTTTGAATTGTTATAGTTTCTTAAGTTTTTAAGTAATCATTATTAAGAGTTTTAGATAAAAAGATAAATGAGGAGTCTCTCATTTTGAGAGTGTTTTCTCTCGTTTTTAGAGAGAGAAATCTCCTTCTCGTGGGAGTCGAGTTTTCCTAACAACTTTTTCAAATTTTTCCTTGTCCGAGTCCCAAAATAACAGAAAGCTGTGTGAAACTTTCCCATTTTTTAGTTCTATTCATCAGATTAATGGAGTCCTGCATAACCATTGCAGCGATTCATCCCCTCTTTAGCTTTCAGACTAAGAACATTCACCTACGCTAACATAGCAATAGCATATCGAGCTGATAGTCTTATGAGTTCACTTTACTGGTTCAAAGGAAATAGAAGTTGACGTCTTATTTTTTCTCTTTCTCTGGTTTATGTTTTTTTACTCTCCTTTGTTTAAGTATTCTTCAGGTCTTCCGCTCTTTCTAGCAGATCTTTGGATCATACTGCCTGGTTGTGGGGACGACGGACGGGAGGTGGAGGAACGGTGGTGTTTCCTTGAGCTGGACTGAGCTGCAGGGTTCTGAAAATCGAAGCAGTACAGGCGGTGGGATCTGTGGTCATGGAGCGAATAGAGGAGGTGTTGAGGAAATTCTCCCTGTCGGAGAATGAAAGGGAAGGAGTTTGTCTGGGGACTGAGGATCTGGCAAAAGGAATAAAGGAATGTAGATTTAGTTTAATTGGTAAAGTTTGGGGGGATAAACAAGTCAACTTCATTGGCATGAGGAGTTTCGCAAAAAACATGTGGCCTCAGGTAAGAAGTTTAAAAGTTACAGAGATTAGAGCCAATATGTTTCAGTTTGTGTTTGAGACTAGGAAGGATATTGATTTTGTGTTAAGTAAAAAACCATGGATATACGATGGGCAGCCTCTAGTGCTGTGTAATGACCCTAGATATTTTCACTAGATATTTCTGAGCAGAAATGTATTTGCCATGCTTTCCTTTCCAGGTAGTTAGTTAGCATTTCCGATAGTTAGTTAGTCAGCTAGCTGTCAAAAGGCATGCATGCATGCATGCTCATTCTGTTAAGAGATTGGCTAGTTGCAGAAGGATCTAGAGGGAGCATTCTGTATAAATAAAGCCTAAGGGGGACGAAAAGGCATGTTATCAGATATAACAAATTCAGTTTCCTTCCCTATTGCACTATCCTTTCCTCTCTTCCCTCTCACACTTCTCCTCCTTCCCTACGTTCTCTCTGCTACACTCTTCTACCTTTTTAGCCTATTCAGATCATAACTAGAAGTACCATTACAAGCTGTTGGAATGGTAGACAGATCTGGAGGAGGAGGAGGAGGCTTTTAGTAAGACTCTAGTATGGGTGCAGTTCTGGAATATTCCTCTTCACTGGGCAACGAAGGAGGCAGGGAGGAAAATAGGAGGAATTTTTGAGGGGGTTAGGGAGGTCATTATTCCACAGGGGGGAGGGAAGGATGGTAAGCATCTGAAGATACTGGCTGAAATCGATCTGAGGAAGCCCTTACCTAGAGGGGTTATGGTTCGAAGTAATGGAGGGACAAGATGGATTGAGTTCAAGTATGAGAAGTGCCATAACTTCTGCTTCTGTTGTGGACTGATAGGCCATTCTGAACGAAATTGCAGTAGGAAGGGGATGCATATGGATAAGGAGAATCAGTATGGCAATTGGTTGAGGGCTAGTTTCCCAAGGAGTCCTCGGAGGAAGTTTAGGAGTGGGAGGGATGAAGAGTAGCCGGAAAAAGAAGTAGATAGGGAACCCAGTCCGGATAAGGAAGGCTGCAGTCCACATTACCCTCCGTTAACATACACCAAGGAATTCCATAGCTCAACTGGAAAAGTAGGTTCCTCAGGTGCAGGGGGTGAGGGGCTGTGTGTGGCTGATGTGGAAGGAATAGTTGGTAAGGTGGCAGAGCAGTTAGGGATGTCAGGGGTGGGACAACAGATGACAGGGAGGGAGGAGATTAGGGGGTGTGTTGTACACAGGAGGACGTCAAGGAAGTTACAGAGGAAGGTAGGGATGGAGGGAGTCAGGAAGGAACAATACCTTAGGGAGGGAAGGGTGCGAAGGGTGATAGTGGGCAGGATTCTATGTGGGTGGATGGGGAGAATGTGGGTGGGATAGGAGGGGGTAGAGTGGGGAAGATAGGAGGAGGAAGAGGGAAGAGAGTAGACCACAGTGCTAAAGCTGCTAATGCCAATACAGGGAATCATAGAGTTAGTAAATCATGGAAAAGAATAGTGAGGGAAGTCAATAGAAGGAAGCCCCTGCAAGAGCTGGATGTGGGAAAAAGGAAATAGGATGAGAATGGAGGGAGTCAGGTAGATGAACTGAGAGGGGGTGGAAGCAGGAAAAAGGCTAAGCTGTGGGAAATGACTGATGATAGGATGATGATTGTTGAGGTGGTGGAGTCCTCCCTTAATGGGGCTCCCAGTTTTCAATGAGAGTTCTGGTGTGGAACTGTCGAGGTGCGGGGAGCCCCTTGACAGTTCCCCAACTTAAGGAACTAGTTAGAGTCCACTCCCCTTCTTTGATTTTCTTAGCAGAAACAAAAAAGAAGAAGAGTTACTTGAATAGTGTTAAGCAGTGGGTGAAATTTGATAATCTGTTTGTAGTAGATCCAGTAGGTATTGCTGGTGGCCTGGCTGTGTTTTGGAGGAATAATTTCCAAGTGAAAACAATTTTGTTTACTAGTTTTACTATAGAGCTGCTTTTGGCTGATTCTGAAGGAAAAAGGGATTGGTGGTGTATATGTACATATGCTAGTACAGATGATAAGGTGAGAGAACAACAATGGGAAGTGCTTGAGAGAAGGAAACAGATCTGGGGTGATTGTTGGGCACTCATGGGGGATCTAAATGATATTACCTCTAATGGGGAGAAATGGGGAGGTAGAGTTAGGATTGAAGCTAGCTTTGAGAAGTTCAACAGTTTCACAAGTAGGAATTCGCTGGTTGATATTGGTTTTGAGGGAGTCCCTTGGACCTGGTGCAACAATTGGGACAATGAGGGGGAGATAAAAGAGAGACTTGATAGAGTAATGGGAGCAAGGCAGTGGTGTGATAACTTTGGGAAGGTTAAGTGTACTCGTATAGAGACAGAGGCCTCTGACCACTATGCTCTGATTCTAGACACTACCCTAATGGCAAAACAAAGGAAAAGGAGATTTATGTTTGATAAAAGATGGCTTATGCAAGAGGGGTTTCTCATATCTTTCTTCTCTTTTGGAGTTATAGTTGGTCCCAAATTGGGCATACTACATGTGCTTGTCATTTTGCACTATGAACGATTAATTGATCATGAGTTCTCTCTTTTTCTTTCACATATATTAATTATTAAACACTCAATTATATTATATGTAAATTATATTGATAATCTAACATATATTTTCTTTCTTTTTTCTTTTTACATTTCAACAGATTATCAATTAAGTTTGCGATGAAATATGAATTATATAAAATTATTTAGATTTTGTGATAAAATTATTTACATACATGAACATTATAACAATTAATCACTTATCCTTGGAAATTAGGTTCTATTATGAAGGGGAGGCACAAAAAAATTCGGAATCCATAAAAATATGTCGTATTGACACTTACATTCATTAGTTATTTTAACCACAATTTTTACTTGCAATAATTTATGCTCAAAGTGCCCAAAATTATAACCACAGCAAAATTAATCAATAATTATACACTTACAAAGTTAAGACAATAAGATAATCATCATGTTACATGCTTATAATTAATTAATGTCTAAGATTCTGCTATTTCAAGCATCATTGGTTCGTGGCCCATCAAAAATAACGAGACTCCTATACCTAACTCATAAAATTCAGATCTAGTTGTAATAGGAGCCAAAGAATTTCACACTCAACAACTTTATAATAAAAAGTCAAAAATTTAAAACAAAATAAAGCATCTCTACCCAGCAAACCACCATTGCCATGACAGGTTGTAATACCTTCGCACATTAATACATCAAAGTTTTAAGAATTCAGCAACAACATCTACTAAAAGCCAATTTCTAATATATTTTGAAAGGTTTGGAGGAATATTTTGAGGTTAACAATAACCATGGATGGATATTTTGAGGCCAGTATCCATATACTCGAAAACCTGTTTAAAAAGTAGTCTTATCGCACTTATGAACTTGTTTAAACATCAACCTGTTCCTAAAAATTTCCTAAACTGTATGAAAAATTCTTCGATTAATCAATCACTCAAAAAACTTAAAAAGGTTTATAAATCTTGACAAGAAAATATAAAGCTAATCACTCAATCATGTCTCTACAAAAAAAATGCACCAAAGAGTTCCGACATTTTCTTTCTGGGAAAAATCAAACCACCACTCAAATAGCAATGACTACAATATTTAATATGCCCAAAAGGGTTGAAGAAATTTGAGTTTCAAAACTCAAAAACAAAATCCTAATTTTATAAAGCAAGAATTAACATGTTAGAATCCTTATATATATGGGACTTTTTGTCCACTACTTTTTCACATGTATAATTAATAAAAAAAGTATATACTGTCAAGAATCGTCAACTAAAAAGGTTTCTTACACGCATGATTGCTTTTGCACCTTGAATAAAGTAAGGCATATGGTTCCAGCGAAAAGTTGTTTATTCATGCCAAATCAAATGGATAAAAGGGCAGTAAAATTAAAACTCATGAATATACATTTTCTGGGTTCAAATGCCCAGGTATAACAAACATAGCAAAAGACAAGATGATATTCTAAAATCCTACCTAACCTCTTGCTGTTTATAGTTTTCCATAAATCCCTTCTCTAATTCCAATTCCATTTATCAAAGTAAGTGACAAATCAAAGAGACATTTTTGAATAAAGACATATCAAAAACTTCAAATAACATGATGGATCTCTTTTTGGGTTTGTGTGAAAGAGGTCGAGAGAAAGTTTGGTAATTGGCAATTAATAATAAAAAGAAGATGATGGGGGAGGAGGACGAGCCATTGTGAACGTTGAGAGGAAGAGAAATAAAAAAAAATCCATATGGATTCAATATTCTTGGAGCTGTATTTCATAAACTTTATTGTAGTGGTATATAAGAAAAATATTATTGTAATTGTTTGTTGAGATTTTTTAAATTTTTAAATATTCTTGGGGTAATTTTTTATTATTAAATAAAAATCACCGCCCATCACCCTTTCCCTCCTCTCTTCTCCCTCTCTCTCCCTCCCGTCCCCTCCCCTCCCTTCACCCTTGGATCAAAATTTGGATAGACCCAATTTTCAAAAAGCAAATGGTCTATATTATACCACATCATTTTGTGAGATGATATAGTATAATTTAGGCCATTGACTTTTTGAAAACCTGGTTTACTCAAGTGTGACCCTCACCTAGACCCCTCCCCCTTCTACGATGAGATGCTTCCGTCGCTACTAGCCCTATGTAACGAGATATGGTTGCTATTAAAGGTCACGACCCTTCTACAAGAGAGGGAGAGGGTTTTTAAGTGGAGAGAAAGGCAGAGGAGAGGAGGGAAGGGGAAGGGAGAAGGAAGAGAAAGGGAGGAGAGAGGAGGGAGAGGGTGGTGATGGTGTTGGATGGTAGTGGGTAGTAGTAGGAATTATTTTATTTTTATTTTTTTAGTTGTATTTGAGAATGTATCTGACAGCCCCATCTTCCCCTAGGGCGAACCAAAGAGGTTAGCGGACTGCTTGCCCAACTCTCGCCAGGACTACTAAGCTAATCACACCCTGAAATACTTGTTCCGAAAGATAATACAGTGCTTGAGCACTACAACGATCGATAAAAAAAAAACGAAACGAAGAACGAAAACAAGCCACGGATGAACAGTGACTGCCACGTCACAATCCAACCGGATTCTGGGCTGGATTGGAGGCAGAGGCAAAAATGAAAATTTTTCAAACCTTCCCTGCATATCCGGCCAGGTATCCGGCCAAAACTTGGCCGAATACGGTGAACAGTAACCTCGCCAATATTTCTTCTTCCTTGTTCAACTTTTATACTCAACCGGACCACAACCCAAAACAAGTACTTTATCAAACATTAATGAATATACATTACTAAAGGAGAATAGTTCACATATACACGAGAAAACACTTTAAAATATGCATTTTAGTATATGTACAAGTCAAAAGGAATCATAGGATCAAAATGCACTTTGTTTTCCCAACTATCGAGGAGCTATACAAAGAACAAAAGAATGTCTAACTAGCTCAACTCGCTTCTCAAAACGTGATTCCAAAAGTTGTTCATGTAAGAAAAACAAAGATAACGAGGGTGAGGTTAGGCTCGTGAGGTACCAATAAGACGCACAAAGGTAATCATGCTTAATCAAGGAACACATAAGAGATTACATCACAACAACCAAGGTTAAAAGGATACAGTCGGCTCTCAAGAGCCACTTTCCCACTTGCCATATTTGATCTCAAACCCGTTGACCCTTCGTCAACATTTGAAAAAAAAAAAAAAAAGACCGTAGATCCCACTTTACCATATTCCTTCCACCGAACATCCCCCTTACCGGGGTCGAACACCTCACAGAAACAGAGGAGGCAATACTCGAGTATACCACAAGGTCGAGGAGATAACACTCCACTCGACTAACAGTCACTCTTTGTTCGTTATTGACAGGTCGTCAGCCTGTGCAATAATAGTAATAAATATAGAACCTAGCTACCACTAAAAGCAGTCAAGAATTAATCCTAGGTACTGGAGCAGGGACTCTAGGTGTGCAATGGGTTACTTGATTCACCCTGTTCCCGAAGAGTTTGCTTAATCCGATATACCAGTATTAATTAATTGACAAAAATTACTGAATAGTAGACAGTGGCAAGTAGGGTCGTCTCCTCAGGGACTGGAGATATTTGTCTCTTTTTAAAGTCCAATTGATAAGGGGGGATTTTACCGGAATGAAACTAAAAATAATTAGACAATTTAATGAAAAATGAACAAATCACTAGCACAAATATAGCAGGAATTTAGTCAGGAATAAATAAATTCTAGCCAAGGATGCAACTACTCAGGCACAGTCCATTTATCTGATCATTGATGCAGGAGAGGTTCACTTAACTCATTAATAGGCTAGTTATAGTCTGATGACAAATTTTTCCTTAAATTATTGATAACCAAGGTACGACCGTTGATTACCCCTAATCAGCAAATACTCCTAGGTACGACCATAGGAATTAATTTCCCAATTGCATTAATATTAGAAAAACCTAGCCCTAACCAATAACACGCTACGAGGGTTATTTAAATTAGATTGCACGTTCCCCTAATGTGTAAACACACCAGTTGCCACTAATATTAATCAATCAAACAATTACGGATTTAATTGACTAAATTGGCACGAGATTAATAAATCACATTGAACATCGGGCCCTTGACATCCAATTAATAAAAGAATCCCATGAAAATACAAGCAGGCAACGTGCAAATATGAATAAATTAAGGAACGCGTGAAAACTAATTAGATCTCACAGATTTTCGGGACTGCGCCGTCGAGTTGACCCTTGACTAGATGGAAGATTTAGCCACGCCACATAATTAAATCACCACACGAATTAATAAATTGCGAAGGCATTGTTTTTGACTAAAAAGTAAGGAATGAAGGATGTTTTCCCCGTTGGGGAATATTGTCAAACACCTGGCGTGTGTCAGAGGCCAGTCCCAGGAAAAAGGAAGAGAAAAAAACTAAAAACTGAACTAAAGCAAGAAAGCTAAAGGCTGGCCGTCCGTCTTCTGTACGTTAGTTACCTATTTAAAGCCAAAGAAAAGCTATCCAGTGGTCCCCACCAATTGGCCACAAGCTGCCCCATTCCTTCTTAGTTTCTTTAGGCTTTGTACGTTGCTTTTCCTTCAAGAACCAAAGGACCAAAGCCCTTTTCTCTTTCCTCCGTGGTCCCCACCGAAGTCAAAGGCCCAAGCCTTCAAGTTCTCTCTGCCAAAGTCTCCCAAATTTGCATCCAAAAGTCCCTCTTTTTGTAGTTATCTGCTCCACTCCTGGAATTGGGTCCAGATACCAAATATGAGTAAATACCAGCAATTAACACAATATTTGTCCGGGATAGAAGGGGAAATTAATAATAAAATTACTAACAAATTATACCCTATCAGTTATCAAACCAACTAAGCCCTTGCCAGCTCGACCCGAATAATGACCAATGAGGTAAGAGCTCAGATATCACAATAAAGTCGTTGGATACAATCCTCCAAACGACATCAAATCATGCACAAGTACAGTTTCACAGTTATACAATAGCAGTCATACAGATAAGAGAACAAGAGCGGTGAAATACACTCTCGTCTCATTCAAGTCAACCAAGTTCACAGAATAAGGTATAAACAATCATTTAAGCATTAAACCATACAAGGGTACACTCACCGGTTCAAGTAAACAAGTTTACAAATTTCCTTCCGATGCAGGCCCCGGATCACCGGCACGACCTAAAAACAAGAAAATTACCACAATTGAGACTCAAACACGAGTCATAGCCTCTTTAATGAACTACTAATACAAGACCAAAATATAACTAAGAAGTGAAATGGAATAACATTAGGTACTAAGCACAACCAACCCTAAGACCCTTTGGTTTCTACTCACTCTCACTCCCAACTCAAAGGTACCCAATTTCCTCAACTTTGGACAGCACTTCCCCTTAATTTTCACATTTTCCATCCTACCATTCATCACCAATTTTCACCAAAAACCATCACAAGTACATATACCAATCATAGACTAAACGACACACCTTATTATGGTTATAACACCCTTCAATCAAAGCCAATTAAAAGCTCCACAACAAACCCTAGAAAAACCCCAAATTTGAAACCCTAAAACTGAAATTTTCCTCACAAATCTAAAATTTTCCGCAAACAACCATAACTAACGTACACAAGCTCCATATTACACCATATCAAGCTATCATTCATGGCCAACCAATAATTATCATATAAAATCAGAAAAATCACCAATATATCTAAAATTTATCAAAACTCTACTTTCAACCATAAAATCTTCCACACAATAGCACTTTTAGCTACTACAACCACTAATTTACCATTATTAAGAACAAATGGAGGATTTCTTAGCAACTTACCTTACAAACCACAAGAGACAAGGTAGCTAGAAATTTCTCTTCACAAATGGCTCCACCACAAACCTTAACCGAGCTTAACAATTCACTTTTATGGAGGAATTAGGATTTAAGTAGTTGGTTCACAAGATTTGGGCAAGAAACGAAGGCAAAAGTTGGAAGCTTTTCTCGCTTCTCCTCTCTATGTTGCTCGGCCAAGACAAGAGAAAATAGAGAGGATTTTGGGTCAAAATTGATTTTAGGAAAGGTGAGGAAAGATTAGTCAAAGTCCAACCTCCAACCATATTGCGCCACCTAGCATCTTTTATGTTTATCTCATCCCTCTTATTTCAAAATACAATTTAATCTAGATAACCTCCAAGTCCTCATAATACCTAGTAATAAAATCCCTGTATGTAAAACTTCACCAAATGGTACACATTTACCGCGCTTATTGTACTAGTGGGTCCCACGTTCAATATACCCCACTATTAACACATGAAATAACTTATTTTAGAAAAATGACTTAAAAATCATATATTTTTTTTTTAAAAAATCCCTAGAAAATAATATACTGAAGAAAAATATAGAAAATGTGTACAGAGGAATAAATTAAATGCCTAAAAAATAAGAAAATTTCGGAATCTCACAATGTATGTATGAATTGGAGATTATTTTCCACTCTAGATTACTAGTTTTACCGGATAGTCCACACCTATCACATAGGAACCTCAAATTTTAAATCAGAAAAAGACTGACTGTTCATTCCTGACTTCTCAGTGTAATAGACCAAAAGTGTGTAATTCTTTGCAAGCCTGGTTTTGACAGCCAAGTCAAAGTCTCTGAGGCTTGAATAATATGAGAAGCGCTGCTTGCTCTAAATTTTTTGTCGACATTGCTTAATATGCAGTTACTTCTTCCACCAAAATTTTATTACCGCCTTCAATCTAATTGTCTAGTGAGCGTAACTTTCAACTCCCTTTGAATCTCTTTTTATTATAAATTCTAAAATCCGATCGACTCTAAATCATGGGAGAATGCCTTTAAAAAGAAATAAATATTGAAAATATTGAAGAAAAATAAAGCAGTGCCCTAGGAAGTGTTTGAGGAATAACTTTGTTGCTACTACAAAATCACATTCTCTGAAACAAATAGAAGGCTCTTATGCATGTCTGTATTGTGATTCAAGCAATTGTTGAAATTTCAGCAATTTCGGAGATATTATCCAGAAGGGAAGAAAAAAGGAGTTGAAGTACTTTCAGTGATTTAAGAATCGAGTTTGATGTTCGTGCGAGATCAATTTATGCAAAAATTTGTGAGAGTTTTAATCACTCTCTATCTTTTTCATTTTTTTAATCACTCTCTATCTTGTTAATCACTAAAGGAAAATTTAGTTAAAGTATTTTTTTTGTTTTTTACTAATTCTATTTTTTTGGATAATGGATAAAGGCTATAAAAGGTTTCCAAATTTTAAGCATGACAGGTTGACGTGGAATAAAATGGTGAACCATCAAGGACAAACGCAGTTTACACTGACATGAAAGATTTAAAATACATATGAAACTATAAATATCGAGTTTCTTTTATTGAATTGTCAATGAATTAATCCTTTGCTTTGCCTTGTGCAGATAAGATTCTGACGTTTATCAATCTTTTTATTTGCATACAATTTCTCTTCGCTTAACACTAACCCTTGTGGACTTGTAGTACTATAAAAGTAAGGAAGAATTGCAAGTTTGATCCCTAATTTTTGGAGAATTGACTAAAATCTCACTTTTGTTTCAAATATTTAGTCTCTTATTATTCATCATTACAAATTTTGTTAGGATTTTAACCGATTCTTTGTTGTTCAAACCAATTCTTGTATATAACTACTAGTGATGAAGTACATTATAAATGGTGCTAACATTCAAAAATAAAAGTTCTAAATTAATTTTATTAGTGTGATAGAAAAGTTCTCTCCAACACAATAAAGAGGAATCTAGTCCCTAATTCAATCAATAGCCTTGGTGTGAGCACCTTTTTAAGAATTCACTAGTGCCATTCGAGAGCTAGTTATCAAGTTAGCTAAACACTAGTTACAACCATGTTGGGTTGGTTTGTGTTACATTAATTGAATTGTAGATTATTATTTACCCCCTATTTGTTTTGCCTTCGACTACATAATCAGTCCACTAGTTATGTTTTAACATATACTTATCCCCTTTAGTTTTAGATGTAAAATTGATTCGAAGCACATCTAGTAATATAACAAAAAAAGCACATCTAGTAACGGCATTCGTTAAAATTTCAATTAAGTTCTTATTTAAATATGAAATATAACAAGATCCTAACCACTTTACCTAAAATCATAGGAAGATCACGTGGTCGAATGTGAAATCACTGTGGGGTTGGGTGGATATTCTATATTTCATGCCTCACACACGTTTTTGAAACATGTTTGCATCAATTAATATGAGGGATAAATTCAGAAACCTCCCCTACCTCCCCTAAGGTTTTTGACAATATCACTACTTCCCTTGAGGTTTGTAAAATTGCACAAACCTCCCTTGAGATTAATGTTTTAGTAACAAATTAAGCCAAATCAGAAAAAGTAACATTTAAAAATACTTTAAGGAGAAAAATAAAACTTTTATCCCATAAATACCCCTTATACATGTATATAAGTTATATTAGTAAAAGCACAAAAAAATTAAAAGTTAGAAATAATTAATACATACATTTCACTATTCAAAAAGTTCACATTCAACACATTAGACAACACAAATAAACAATAAAACTATACTAATGATCATAAGATTTAGTAAAATAGACCGGTCATCACTCTTAACATTAGGTTTTACTATAATTCTTGTGATTATGAACAGAAAAAAATTTTAAATTTCGCCTTTCTCTTCCCTTATTTCTTCTTTATTTCCATGAAATTACTTTATAACTATTATAGTTTTAAGAGTTTCAAAAAAAAAATTTTCCATGAACAATCTTCTTTTGCCATATGTTTTTCCTTTTACCAAAGCTCTTCTTCTCACATTGTGTATAACTAGATTTTAATTATTGTCAAGTTCTATCAATCACAAAATAGCACCATCTGGTATATCAATTGGCCTTATCTTACAATTGCAAGTCACTATTCATCATTAAAGAAAATTTCAACAATTATTTTCATTAATTAGTTACTTATAGTTAATTAGTGATCTAATTACTCAATCATTAGATATTAGTTTCTATAAGACATAATGCCTTAGGGTATATGAGTAATTTTTCCCATGTGATATAATTGGGCCCACCATTCTACTAAGGGAGGTAAGTGTAATTTTACAAATCTCAGGAGAGACCAGTGAAATCGTTAGAAACCTCAGGGAATGTTTCTAAAATTATCCCTTAATATAATTGGAATTGCTTTTACGTCTTTTTTTGTTCACTTTTCATAAAATATAGAGAAATTGAATAATACTATTCAACAAAAGGGATTAAGTGGTATAATGTGAAACCACAAAGGGAGCATGTAGAAATCTACCCATGATTAAATTTGGCGAAATCAGGAACTAGATTAATTGTGTCCAAATATAAGGGTCCAGATTGGTTCATCTTTCAAACTTTGGGACTACAATTTTTTTTTTTTTGGCATAAAATACACACTGAAGGGGACCATTTTTGCCCACCCCTCCAACATACATTGGTATCAAATTTGTAATTGTCTTGTAAAAGTGTTTGGACTATGGTTTTCTATCAAAAAAAATTTTTTTGAACACATTTTTCAATCATCCTTTTGCCTTACATATATCAAATTGCTATAATATATATATTTTTTATAAAAATCATAAAAATATTAATCCAAACAGGACTGCCACACTTGCAATGAAGAAACAAAAGAGTATTTTGAGGAAAAAAAGGTGTGCATATCTGTGACTAATTTCTCAATGGGTGGTTTTAAGGCAAGACGTTCAAACTCTAAAAAACCAATTTCTATTAAACTATTTTAGTGCTATTATTTATATTTATGAAAATAGAATAAATAAAACAACTCTTATGTTTCCTTCTTGTTTTCTGGCTTTACTAATTTTAGTACAATGTTACTACAAAATCTTACTACATGAGTGCTTCAAAGACAGCACAAAAGTTAAATCCTAGCATCTTGGACCAATATTTGGCACTAAACTAAACAAATAATATACACAAAAAAAAAAGGACACAAAAGAACTTGCCTCTCCCTCAATCAATTTGTGAAATTCATGCTTATGTACTTTTATTCCTAAATTGTCTGAAATCAGTCCCTGGGCTGAAACAAATTAAAAATTGTCAATAGTTATGGGAGAAAATCTGACTTCTGAATTATATTCTTTGCATTCTCCGTCGAGCGTCCACCCCTTGCTTTCACCACCTCCTGTACTCTGTCCTTCTATCCTCTTAATGAGCTTATCCCTTTGTGAAATTTCCTTCTTCCCTTTCACCCTCCAAATCCAGCCAAAATTCTATATCCAAACCGCCTCCCATGGAATCTGTTATAGCAAAATTCATAATGCCGGCTATGATGTTATTTTTGTAGTGGTTTATGAATTCGGCATGGAGGTTATGGACCCATTCCATGGCAGGGCCACTCGAATGGCAGATCTGAGATTGGAACAAATATAATAGTTCCCCTCACTTGCACGCAACTGGGTTGCAGCCATGGCACTATTCCTCCCTCTTGGCATAGAATACTGAGCCTTTTCACGCATGATTTTGCTAAGTTCCCAACTTTACTTTGGTAGTTTGATAAAGTTTAAAAATCAAAGGCGGTATAGGATATAATACTGTGGTGATATTCAATGTTGGGCCTTGACATCACAGAATAGGTATTGCTTTTTCTTGCAATTTTCTACATTAGATTATTTCGGATAGCCCTTCCCAATGATGCGCTTGGGGTTATATATCCACAAAAATGCTATTTACCGAAAGTTTAGCTATGATCAACTTCTTTCTTTGGGTTGGTTGTAATGGATGCTGTTATTGGTTTTTGTCCAGCAACTAGAAATCAGTATTCGTGATTTTTAGGGAAGGTGTGGTGTAATTGTAGGATTTTTCCATTATTAAATTCACTCTGTTTTTTAATATAGATAATAGGATTGCAAAATTATTGGTGACTATCAGTTCATCATTGCGGCTTTTGTGAGAGCTGTGCTTCCAAGATTCATGCATGAATAGAACAATTAGTTAAAGGGTCATATGATTTCATTAGAGTC